CCCCCCCCCCCCCCCCCCCCCCTCCTCCTCCTTTTCTTCCGCCATTCGTTTTCGTCACTCTTTTCATCGCAGTTTGAAGTCGTCAGTTGGAAGAATGGAAAATTAATTGCACAAAACAATAATGCAATTGATATTTCCACTATATGCTTTTGAATATCCAGAAAATTTTTTTATATTCAAATTTTCTGCCAACACTGATTCTGCTTATATGCAACAACGAAGCAAAAACGAACAATAACAATACTGACACAATAACAACAACAACAACAACAAAAATTTTATTTTATTTAGGACATTAATGAATAATTTTTCCATTTCTTGTTCATGATTCTCGATCAATGATCTTATGAACCAATATTAAAACCAAAACTGATCACTCGGTTTCTTGGAAAAAAAAAAAAGAAAAAAAAGTACGAGAAAAGTGAAAGAAAGAAAAAAATGATTGATTAAAAATTTGCAGATTTGTTTGTCAAAAGTGAGCAGAAGAAACACTTTTTTTTGCATCGTTTATTGTAATTACTTTTTTTGAATGATTCTATCAAATATTAATGACTAAAACACTAAAAATAAAATGCATACATATCTAAAAATCTTTTGCTTTACTAAAACCTATTAGAAGAAAAAATGTAAATAAAATCTGAAGAAAAAGCAGGAAAATTTTGAAGTTTTTCTCGTATTTTGATATAAAAAGTTGGTGTTGTAAGCCAAAAAAAAGGTGAATAAATGAAACAAAATAAAATAAAATAAAACAAGATAAAAAATAAAAAATAAGGCAAGCAAATAAACGCAAAAAAAAAATTCGATATTTGCACTGAATTTGTTATGGTTATTGCTGTTCGTTTTCTGCTTCTGTTTCCTTTTTGCTATACATTCATTCATTCCCATATCAATGTTCGTGGAATATCAGACTGCAGAAAAGAAAAAAAAACAGCGCCTGTTTTTCTTTGCTTCTCTGGCCACTATTTCTCTATACCAACGTTTGCAGCAACAAAACCTGACAACAATTTGACACAACAACTGATCAGTCGTTCGATAGTCCATTGCCTTTAAACTTACCTGGCTGGAAGGCCTCTCGCGATCATGAAGGCGGGACCTTCATGGTGAGGCTTGGCCATTGCACTTTCGGCTAGGCTGACCTGTGTGGCATTCCCGAGTTGGGATTGGCCAACAGCATAATTTTTGCGTTTGGGGGAGCGTTCGCGCTTCCCTGACAATGTTTCAGATACGCAGTTGTTGGGACTGGAGAAGCATCCGCTTCGGGATAGAAACTTGTTTGGGAACTGGGAAATTTCACGAAGGAATCATTGCTCATAGAAAGTCACACAGACGCAGCAGATATACGGCTTGAGCAGTTCGTTTACCGCACTGACAGTACTTATGTTTATCCTGTAAACTCCTACAGAAGCTACGCAGAAACTGAGTGACTAAAATAAAAGATCATTCTGGTCCGGTCTTTTGTAAAAAGAAAAAATTGTAAAAGCACTTATGAAAATATCTTTAAACTTTTTTTTTCACTTTTTCATTGAATTATATAAATATTTTTAATTTCAGACAAATTATTCTTTTTTTTTGTTTCCTATTTGGCCAATAAAGTACCACCTAAAATTTTAATAAGCTTAATTTTTATTATCACTGAAAATGGGTCAAAAGTGTAGAAAATCTATGTGTATATCAAGACTGATGCTGAAGAAACTTAGAAATAGAGCATATAATCAGTGACAAAAAGTAGCTCTTAGTTGTATCAGTAATCGTTGAATAGACTTTATTAATTTTAGATGGTCATAAAGAATCTTTCTTATCAAGTTCAGATAAATTTTAGTTTTACTATCTTTTCACGCATTAATTCCTAGAGCAACACATTTATTTTGCTGTAAAGTGGTTTTTCAGCAGTTCTTATGTTGAATCTGCTACGCGCCTACTTCTCCAGTAAGCATCAACAAATTTTTTACTTTACCAGATCATATCCATCAAATTCAGCAGTTTCTAAACAGTTACATTTTTGATAATTAATAAATTACAATTTAAAAATAGCAAAATTATTACTATATTCTTTAGGAACTGAGTAGCAGCATTGATGGGCACGCAGTAGACGCTTTTATTAAGGTAACAGTATAAGTGATAAAGACAAAGGAGGTCAAACAACGGTCAACTTACTGTCGTCAATAGCGTTATCAAAGAGTTACCAACATGGTTTTAGCAATGCTCGTCTTGGATCGCTGATTACATATTACGTAAGATTTAAAAAATTTTTCAAAAATATTTTGCACAATATATTGATCTAAGAACACCTTTTTTCGGTCATTATTTTCATTTTTCTTTTTCTTCCGCGTTTCTTGACATCATTTTTGCATGTCCGACGATTTTGCAGTATATTTTATTCTGTCATAACTATGTCGCCCTAAATTGGACAACTATAATCAGTATCAAAACAATTGGAATCGACTGTGGTTAATCGTCAGTTGATATTCCGTTTCTGCGGACCGCTGTTCTGATGTTTGCCAAATTTGTTGTTCTTTTGCTCCTTCTTCCAGGTTTGATTTAAATTGAAGAAAAATAAAATTTTTGTTTTTTTGTTTTTGAGTTACTTTGTTGTTCATAGTTGTTAAACTTAGATACGTTGTTCACTCGCTTCTTTTTCTCTTATAACTCCATCAGTTTGTGCGTAATTTGTTATTTGATCATTTTCTTTTTACAAAAAATTATTTTCCTATGGCTTTCAAGTTTCATGATTAAAGCATTGTGTTACGCTTAATGACAAGTTAATCTGAGGCAGTTATGCATTTC